TTAGTCGTTTAGTCGTGTCCGCCTCTTCGTGACCCCATGGACCAGAGCACGTCAGGCCCTCCTGTCTTCTACTGCCTTCCGGAGTTGTGTCAGGTTCATGTTGGTTGCTTCGCAGACACTGTCCAGCCATCTCATCCTCGGTCGTCCCCTTCTCCTCTTGCCATCACCCTTTCCCAACATCAGGGTCTTTTCCAGGGAGTCTTTTCTTCTCATTAGATGGCCAAAGTACTGGAGCCTCAGCTTCAGGATCTGTCCTTCAAGTGAGCATTCAGGGTTGATTTCCTTTAGAACTGATAGGTTTGTTCTCCTTGCAGTCCAGGGGATTCTCAAGAGCCTCCTCCAGCCCCACAATTCAAAGGCATCAATTCTTCTGCGGTCTGCTTTCTTTATGGTCCAGCTCTCACTTCCATACATCATGACAGGAAAAACCATAGCTTTGACTATTCGGACTTTTGTTGGCAAGGTGATGTCTCTGCTTTTCAATATGCTGTCCAGATTTGTCATCGCTTTCCTCCCAAGAAGAAGGCGCCTTTTAATTTCAGGGCTGCTGTCTCCATCTGCAGTGATCATGGAGCCCAGGAAGATAAAATTTGACACTGCCTCCATATCTTCCCCTTCTATTTCCCAGGAGGTGATGGGACCAGTGGCCATGATCTTAGTTTTTTTGATGTTGAGTTTCAGACCGTTTTTTGCACTCTCTTCTTTCACCCTCATTGACAGGTGGTGAATAATAATCAAACCCTGGAGGCGTTCAAGAGAAACTTAGAGAACTACATGATAGATATCCTTTGATTTGTACTCCTGTATTGAGCAGTGTGTAGGACTTCATGGCCTTACAGGCCCCTTTCAACTTCAGTTTTCTATGGGTCTATAAATGTTACCAACCACTTTCAAAAACGAGATGCAACGTTGACTTCACAGATATACCTACTGTATTCCTAAATTGAAAACAAGAATATTCTTACAGGGTGTTTTTGTGGAAGTGAATATTGATTATGCATTTCTTGAGTATTGGTGAGTTATGAAGGGATCCAGAGGAGATGGAGTCAAAAGACCAGGGTTGGCCAACCTGGTTTCTGTAGGTTATTTGACCAAGAGGAATAATACATAATCTCTTTGTGATGACCCTTCTGAACTCTGTCCTTTTTATGAACAGGTGCCTCCCATTTCGGTTTGCAACGAGTACTGCCATCCTGGCTTTCAGAAGAAAAGTAAGGAAGGAGAAAAGTTTTGTTGTTATGATTGTGCTCTATGCCCAGCAGGAAGGATTTCAAACCAGACAGGTGGGCGTTCCAATATTGGTTTTTTGTCATTTAAAGATAATTGAGTTTCTGGGGTTAAATGCCAAAATTCGGACATGGAAGAAGCGAAGCGTTGCCCTGGCAGATATGTTACTATAAAACTCCTCAATGGCTAATGATTAAATCAAAGGACAAAATCATGTTCTGCCAAACTACACAGTGAAATTTGGATGATATCATCTTTGTGGGGTTGTGCAACTGTTCAGTGTACATGTAGAAAGAGCAGTAGTTGTAATACCACCACAACACCTTCAGCATCACTTCAGCAGCGGTTTGGGGCCGTTCAAAACCCTTCTTTGACCCGTCCCATCCTGAAGCCCTCAAAGGCTCTCTAGGGGAAAGGAGAGGTACAGAAATCATTAGAACTTGGCTCATGAGTTGCAGGAGATCCGTTCATGTTCTTATTCACAATGGCCCAGTGAGCTCTATACTGACATGGCAGATCAGCCAGTATGAGGATACAAGGCATAGGGGAGACCCAGGTAATACCTTAAAAATAGGCTTAAATTGGTGCCTTTGGAGAAACACACGTGAACACATCTACACAGAGCCAGAGAGCAGCTGTTAACTGGAGAAGATGGGTGTTTAGGCTTTAGAAAAATGAAGGAATGATGATGATGATGATGATGATGATGATGATGATGATGATGATGATGATGATGATGATGATGATGATGATAATAATAATAATAATAATAAGAAGAAGAAGAAGAAGAAGAAGAAGAAGAAGACAGGAGGGCCTGGTGTGTTCTGGTCCACGGGGTCACGTTAAGTCATACACGACCTAATGACTAAAGAACAACAAAATGTTACAACTAGCCAGCTGCCTGAGGAGGTGAGGCAGGGCAGCCAAAGCTGCTTCCCTGAGTGGCGTGCCGTGGGCAAGGGAGGATCCCAGTGGTATGCTGATGAAAGTGAGTGCATCATATTGTTGATTTGGCCCAAAGCACCATAGCCCTTGATGATCCTATTCAGGGTTCTGCATATTATGCTCAACACTTTAAATTGTGCACAGAAACTAACAGGGAGCTAAATAAGGCATGGAAAGAATGGAGTTATGTCTTCGTATCTGCTGGTAATTGTCATCAAACTAGCTGCCACCTTCTGGACCTACTGAAGCATTCATAGTTACGTCAAGGGAAGCCCTACGTAGAGAGTATTACAGTAGTCTATTTTGGAGCTTAATAATCTATAGAGCATTGTTGTTAGACCTTTCTTATA